ATGAGATAACGAACATTTGAATAGATCTGTGTGAACTTCAAGGCCATAAAGATTGTTGTATGTTTAAAAAAATATTCCTGTCTCTCTGATGCAGTTTTTCTCTATAAAGTCTTTGTCTGAAACTCCATTCTTTGTTCAGTGTTATTTTTCTAAATCCTGACACTATGCTTAAGCATAATAAAGTCTAGGTTTTTACCTCTGTAATTTCTGCATTGTGATAAAGATTTATTTGGCAGCAGTTCCCTATCGCACAAATTGAATAGAGAGAGAGAGTTCTCTGTAACAGCAGCCTTTTGGTTAGTCCCTTCCCCTGTCTGTGATTTGGAGGTAGTGAAGACATGACAAGTCTTAAAACTGCCCTAACCTCCTTCTTCCTCCCCTACCAAGATTCATTCCCAATAGAATGCAAGGTTCTTGAGATTGTTTCATTTTTTGCCTTTGTTATCTCTAGCACCTAATATACAATAACTAGCATTTAAGCTAATATTTATATGGCACCTTAAGGTTGGACAGTTTACATGCTAACTCCTTTGAGCCTCACCAGAACTCTGTGAGGTGATAGGTGCTACTATCATCATCATTTTACAGATGAGAAAAGTGAGGCAGATTTGCACATTGCTAGTAAGATATACAGCTAGTTAAGTGTCTAAGGTAGGATTCAAACTCAAGCCTTCCTGACTCCAAGTCATCACTCTACCACCGTGCCTCCAAAGCTGCCTTCATACATTTACTTGTTGATTGATAACATCACAAGTTCATATAGAGCTGGAAAGGACCTTTAAAAGTCACCTAGTTCAATCTCATTCTACAAATGAGGAAAGTTGGATCCAGGTTTTGCCCAAGGTTAAATGGAGCTGTTTCCATGACACCACAATGCAATGAGAGAATATAATTGACCAATATCAGTGGTTATAATTGAGTGATGGGAGGAATTTCAGGTATTGCTATTCTTAAAATGACATGTTGAACAAAAGGTACTGCATTTCTCCTACAAGTTAATATTTCCCTCGGTCTCTGTTACTTGGATATGTGAATGTGTGATTTCATCAGCGTAGGGAAAGTCCCGAGTGCAGGAACTCCCTCAGCTTCTGCAGATCAAAACCCCAATGACTCACATATCATTTACTTAGTAGAGAGTCCTAGGAGTTGCCTTAGGAACATATAGATTAGTAACACGCTCACTCTCACTCTCACTCAGCTAGTGTCAAGCCAAGGATTTGAACCTGTCTTCCCAACTCTAAGCCCAGAATTTTATCCACTAATTTATATTGCTATCTTAACAGGAGGAAAAATATTCACCAACTACACAGCATCTGTGTGCTCAGGCAGCCAAGGAATCACTGATCGAAAAACAGAGGGGCTGACACAATTACTGCTGCTTTGTGCAGTATTGATTGATGGTTTTCTGAGATAAGCCAAACTTTTTTCCCAGGGTCCTATTCACTGACTTCTCCTTTCATTACACTGTTTATATGACTGAGTCTTTAGCAGTTAGGCTAAAGGCATGTGGCTAGTTGAAATATGGCAGACAACTATACCTAAGTGGAAGTTTTGCTTTATACAAAAACTGTACAAAATTGGTGTAGGTGGGGAAAATGGTTGGCAGGAGGACACTCCCTATTTCAATATATGTTTTAAAGCAGTTCACATACATTCTTTTGCTGCTAGATTTACCACCAGGTATGTGACTTATTTTATGAGCAGACAAACAAAGCTAAAGACAAAAGCAGCAATAGCGGCTACAAAGAAGTATGGAGAGTGACAGTAAAATGAAAAACACTTGTAAAGAGAAGTGAAAACAGAGTATATAGCCAGCTTACCTTGCTATACTTTTAAATCATTATAAAGAAAATGTCAAATGTCAAATTGGAATTTTTTATGTAAAAAAATCTGAATTCTGTTTTGCAGTCAAAGGTAATTCTTCTTGTCTGTTTTGATATCTGATATAACACTTAAAACCTGAAAAAGCAAAACTTTCCTTAACTAAATATTCTATTTAACATTCTGGCAGCAACAGAAGGGTCTAGGGAATATGATAAAAAGTCACAGAATTTGATTTTTCTCCATCAAACCTCTTTTGCCCTAAAATTGTTTCTAACAGGAACTCATTTGAGAATTTTCTTTTAATGACTGTTCTAACATTTGAAATTTATAACTGCAGTTCCCATAATCATAATTCCTCCCCAACCTTGGTTTTAAAGACATTGGCCACCACAATCTCATGATAATTAAAGTGTTTCATCTACATCAAAGTTGTGTCTGTTAAAATATTTCTCTTTCTTCAAGGCCCAGCTCAAGTGCCCCTTCTTAGATGAAGCTTTCATTGACTTCAATAGAGCATGATCGTTTATTCCTCATATTTCTTAAAGTACTTTGTCTAGCTTACTCCACTTCTTCCCTTATCCAATTCTACCTTGTGACATAAATATTCATAAATGTATTTTATTCTTGTGTTGGACTATAAACTCCTTGAGGGCAGGACTATGCTATTTTTCATTTTATTGCCCCTCACATTTAGAGCATAGTAAGTGCTTTAAAAAAAAGTATTGAATTTAATTGAAAGTAAGAGAAAGAAGGTCATGATAAGTATGTCATTTGGTGGTTTGGTTGCTCCTAGCCTATATATTAAATAGCTATTTCATAGACACAATGTTTAGGTGACTTGCAGTACCCTAAAACAGTAAGTTCATCCCTCGATGGCCCTAATATAGATAATGTATTTCCAAAAATTAATTATTCACTGGAACTAATGTACTGTCTGATCTATCTTCTTCTACTATTTAATTAACAAAGCAAATGATGGATATTGCATGTCAAATGAATTCAGAAAAACACTCATTTAGTATGAACATGCCAGATTTACTATGGAAAATTAAGAATTCATAGGGGAAACATCTAATTTGGGACATTATTTTTTCTAGGCACATGCCATTGGTCACAAAGCTCCAAGAATCCAGCCTCACCCTTGTCCTTCAACCTTACCTTTGTTGTTTTTGTTGTTTGCAAGGTTTAATGAAATGGAGTATGGATTAAATCCCATTACATCGAATAAACACCTCTTCAAAAAGTTTTAAAATTGCAGTATAGGGCTCATATATTCAACCAATACTTAATTAGGCAAAGTTCCTGGATAAGCCCTTGGAATTCACAGTAATAGGGTTTGACCTTCACCCTACTCACTGCCAACCAACCAATCACATGCAAGCTTCCTAACTAACCTTTTTATTTGGATCGATCCTGGATCAAGTCTCTAGTTTTTATGAAATAGAAATGAATATTGAATTTTTTTTCTTTTTTTTTTGGTTAAAGTGCTGGACTACAAATATCTAGTCTGAGAGTCTAGTTTTAGTCTTCACCAAGTTCTGTGAAATGCTTTCCACCGAATAAATCACATAGGGACTTTTGAAACAGACTTGATTGCATGTCTGCTGCTCTTTCAATTTTGTATAAACTTACTGCTCACGGTCGCAACTGTGTCAGTTCTCTGGGAGTAGGCCTAATAGCTCACATAGTCCTGTACGTGTGTGTGTGTGTGTGTGTGTGTGTGTGTGTGTGTGTGCGCGCGCGCGCGCGTGTGTATCTGTATTCACATCAAGGAGTTTTTCCAGGGTGCTCAGAAAAGATGCCCTATGCAAAGAACACGTCCCATGCAAGGAAGTCTCATACTTAGCTATCACCTACTATAAAAATACAAGTTGTTTACATCAAGAATACTAAGATGTAGAAAAGCACACCTGCCCAAATGGGAGGACCACCTCATAAAGTTTATGAGCAGCTGCTCCAAGTGGGAGTGAAAAGATATTGCATGCCATAAAGCAATCCTCTTGTAAATGCATAGTCTACAAACTTATCCTTGAGGTCAGGATTAGTAGGAAACCTGTATTTATCTGCATTAAGTTGAAATGCTTAAATTTTAAAATAGGTTAAGGTTAGAGTAGGGCCCAGGAAAAGCAGGGTTAGAGGAAAGGTTACATAGAAAGAAATATTCACTTATGTAGAGGTATTAGTATCATTTAATATGACTCATCAATGGCTACACAAAATATATCTAACCAAGTGCTCCCTTTTCAAAAAATATAATCCCTTTACAAGAGACAATAAGTAGCTATTGGGGAAGGGTACACTAAAAATATATGTGGGGGTATATACGTATAGATCTGCATGTGTATATATAAATATGTATATACACACACATACATATGCAATACATCTCTGTAGTCACAAAACTTTCAGATGTAAGTTAAACAACTTTCTTATAAAGTTTTGATTAAATTAGCGCATGGCCTTCAGATTTTAAAACATTTCTGTCAAGCATTTCATGGCATTTAAGTGGAAAAGTTCTCTGAAGAGGAAAAAAAAACCCTAATATTTTCTAACATAGCATTAGAGTTTTCAATACTCCAGCAAGATTTTCCTCAATTCAAATCACTTGTATGTTTCACCGTGACAATGAACTTAGAATCATTTTTTATAGCTTGAAGAGCTACTATTACAGTAAGCAGGCTATAACACCAAAGATTATATTTATGTGGTATTTACAAATAGTAGAAATATCACCATTCCTCGTTATGAGCCATTTTTCTTCATCACCCTGATTGTTCTAAGCATCATTTTCCCCCTTTCCTGGCTCAAGAGATGCAAATATCCTAATAAACTAATTTTAAGAACATGATCTGGGCAGCATTAGCTTAAAGAAAAGCACGTCTAACTAATATGGGCATACACTGCAATATTGTAGGGATGCTACATTTATCATCTGGTGACTGCCATCTACTTATCTTTCAAACTATGAAGAAAGACTATCAGTACCCAGTAAAAGACTCCCCCAAGACATCTCATCAAATGTAGGTAAATCAGAAAATAAGGAACAATCCACCATATGGCCAATTTTTTTTTTTATAGATTTTTGTAATGCCCAGTGGTCCCACATCTTTGGAAAGCACTTCTTCAGTGGCAAGCAAAGTGCTGATGATTCACGTGGCTTTTATCACAGTGATCCATTAGGGAAGCGGCTGTTGCTGAACACCACGCTTGCTCTTCCAAATGTGCTTCTGCCTTCTTCATTTTCTTTCCACTCTTAGGGCTCTGCCTAGATGGGAAAAGAAAGTAAACACAGACAACCATGATTTGTTATATTCTATTGAAATGCAAAATAAGCATTTCCCACCTCCAACCCACCATTTTTGCTCTGTGACATTTTCATGGCAGGAGATATTGCCTTGGTGAAAAAATGATAAATTAATCAATAAGAATTTATTAAGTGCTTGCTGTGTGCCAAGCAATGTGCTCACAGAGACAAACATGAAATAGTCTCTGCCCTCAAGGAGCTTATATTCCATAAACTAATCCATGAGGTAAAACCTGAGTTTTGTAACCAAAAGGAAAAGAAAAGAAAAACACAGCAGGTGTGTAATAGCAATTCAATTCAATTAAACAAACTTTAATTTATTAAACTTAGTAAGATAAAATTAACCTGTCCCCAACTGGCCTAATCTCAGTTCATATTTCCTATTAATGGGTAAACAATTATAGTACAGAGAGGGCCAGCCTTAGTATCAGGAATAATGACATATACCAGCTATATGACCCTTGGCAAGTAGCTTAACTTCTCAGTGTTTCAGGCAACTAAGGCTTCAAGTTATAGGTGAGTTGCTGTTCTGTATTAGTAGAGGAAGTTTCTAAACCAGGGAAGTCTCCATGTGAAAAGAATGGAATCACAAGACTAGATCCAAAATTTTAAAAAGTGCCAAAAACTAACTATGAACACAAAGCCAAAAACAACTCAATCCACTCCCTCAAATAGCTTTTATATCCTACTGGGAACAACAGACAAATGTTTGTTCCCATAAAATGTGCCATCCCTATGTTCCATGATACAATTCCTTTCCAGAGATTTTTCTTCATGGATATTGATGTATCTACAGGACCTCAGACTATAACAAAGACCTCCCAAAGTATCTTACTTTATAAACCATCTGTTAATCCGTGTGTTCCGGTTAATGGAATCCAAAACTCAAGCACGGTTTTAATGAGGGGTCAAGTTTTGGAGAAGAAAGTGCTTTGCTTTTGGAATTTCTTCCTTATTTAAGTCTGCAAGTCAAAGCCCACTGTCCTTAAATAAACAGAATTTAGGTTTTTATTTTTTTTCCTTTTCATGTCTTTCACTGGAAGTGTAAGGGTTTCTCTTCTACTCAGGAACTTGGAAAGTGAAAATTAGTTCTTTTGTGGCTTTAACACCTACTGACAGGGTTACACAGACTGCTATGAAGGGAAACATTTTTAGAACCACCTGGCAGGTATCCTAGCTTAATGGAATAAATACATTTCAGTACTGCTGTAAAATGAATTCTCATTAAATCTCATTTCTATTTGGCTTTCATAAAGAATCAGAAGGTAATGTTCTCCTAGAAAAATTTTGTTACCTGAATATAATAAAAACCTTACATAAATCTGCACCAAACAAGATTTTTAAAAGCAAAGCTAAATGGGGCAGCTAGGTAGTACAATGCCCTGAAGTCTGGAGGACCTAAGTTCAAATCCGGCCTTGGATATTTAACACTTAATAGTTGTCACTTAACCTCTATTGCCTCAAAAAAAAAAAACTAAAGGAAGAAAAAATATGTTTTCTATAATGTATTAATAATACTAAAACATTAACAACTATACGGCACTAAATAAAAAAAAATACAAAATAAAAATAAATTTTAGCACCCCAAACTGGCAGACTGGATGTGTTTTACTGTACACTACCCACTCATTCTTCCCACTATTACCCAACTTCAAATCACTTACCAATTCTAATTTTACATCCAAGTGAAATTGTGTATTTTTTTTTTGCTTTGTGCTTTTCCATCATTTGAACTTACTGTCTCTTTTACCACATATCTAGAAACACCTATATAGTTTGTTATAATTACAGCCACAATGCCTCAAGATGTCTTCTCCTAACCCAGTGGCCTCTCCACACCATTTCTCATTGGTGAGTATTTTTTGCAACCTCCATTTTGAGGAAGGGCCTCTATCTGCCATTCTGTATCCTCTGGACTTTATCACCATTAACCACTTTGCCCCTGAGCCACTATCACCTACAGCTCCCTGTTATATGTTGTCTCACCCATTAGAAGGTAAAGTTCTTGAAAGAAGTGACTGTCTTTATTTTTGTTTACATTTGTATCCCCAAGGCTTAGCACAGGACCCATAACAGAGTAAGTGCTTAATAAATGCTTGTTGACTTGACTTGATAGTACCCTCAGGTCATAGAATCATAGAATAGCAGGGTTAGAAGGGTCCTCTCTGCAATCACCTGGTCCAACCTTTGCTTGGAGCAAGAATTCTCTCTACAAAATATTCAACAGGTAATTAACTAGTTTATGTTTGAAAAAAAGAGGAAGGGGAACTCAGGGCACATTTTACTATAGGACAATTCTAATTGTTAGGAACTTTTTCCTTATGTCAAGAGAAAATATGCCTCTCTACATCTCTCATCCATTGTTCCTCCTTCTACCCTCTGTGATTAAGCAGAATGAGCCTTACCTCCCTTCCATGACAGCCCTCAAATACTTGGAAGACATTTATAGTGTTCTGTTTTCCATATTCTATGAGACAACAAAGCTCAAGTCTAACCTTTGCTTCAGATTGGAGCCTGTTAGAAGAAACTAATGCCTGACAATGACAAGCATATATCAATACAGTGTGCCCAACCGAAAAATCAGCCCAACTTTATGTTCAGTTTGTTTGATTTACTTGGTGTTACTGGCTGATAGCCTCATTATTCAATTCAACAAATATTTATCTCAGGCCTACATGGGCAGGGACAGGATGAGGTTAGAATGTTTTGTGCCTCTGATACATTACAAAGGCAGGAGCTTAAGACAATGCTTCTAGCCCCTGGTAAGGTGCTTTCATTGTTGGGAACCAGCAGTTGATTGGGCTAACCAGAGACAAAGAGTTAAGCCAAACTCTCCAGCTGGCAGTAGCAGCATGGAGAACAGTTGATTAAGCTTGGGCAGATACTCTTCTGCAAAGTGAATTTTTGTTTAAATTTAAGAAAGCTTAAACTTATAAGTGACTTTGTATTATGGAAAGGATACCTGTATTTGGAGGTACAAACAACTGTACCCTTCAGAGAAGCTCTATTGTCAGTATGATACATGAAAATCATTGGGGAAGAGTTGCTACTCTAACCACTGGCCAGGACTGTTTTGAGAGATGCAAAGTCTGGCCCAGGTCCCCATAGTCAAAATGGTCCAAAATGGATCATAGCACTCAAGTTAGAAGGGACATCTGAGGCTATCTAGTTACCTCCCTCATTCTACAGTTGAAGAAATTAAGGCTTAGAGAGGCTAAATGACTTGTGATCATAGGACCAGAGAGTTAGAGCTAGAAGGGACCTCTGAGGTCATCTCTTTCATTTTATGAATGAGGAAACTGAGGCCCAGAGAGGTTGACTTAGATTACAAATCTGGAACTCCAAGGAACCTCAGAGGTCACATTATTTAATTTTGGAGTCCAATCATTTCGTTTTACAGATGAGGAAACTAAGGCCCTCAGAATGTAAGTAATTTACCCAAGGTCACATGGGCGGTAAACATCAAAGTTGGGATTTGAACCTAGGTCTTCAGAATCCAGAGCCAGTGTTCTTTCTAGAGCAATGCACTAAATCTGACAGGATTGCTTCTAGGTTTGTAGTAATAGCAGCTCCCTCTTGTAAAGTGCATTAAGGTTAGTTAATAAAGCACTTTCTGAACAGTATATAGTGTATTATTTACTCAACTTTACAGATGAAGAAACTGAGGCTCAAAAAAGTTCAGTGACATGCCCATGGTTAAACAGCTAGTAAGTTATCAAGGAAAAGATAAGAATCCAGGTTTCTTCTGACTACAAATCCAGAGCCCTTTCCACTACTCCACACTGCCTCCCAATAAATAGTGGAAGGGGTACAGAAGAAATGTGAATACTGTATATTGCCCTCACACTTCAAAGAGAGGCATATGAAGATATTAAAAATATTTTGTGTCACAATCCCCTTTGGCAGTGTGTGAAAACTATGGGTCCCTTCTCTGAATAAATCACACAGGATTGAAAAGGAAATCAATTATATCGAAATACAGCTATCAAAATTTTTTTTTAATTCATGGATAACCCCAGGTTAAGAACTCCTGATATAGGGGGATGAGGGAAATGAACAAGTATTTATTAAGCTCCTACTATGTGCTATGCACTGTGCTAAGAGCTTTACAGAGATTATCTCACTGGATCTTCACAACAATCCTAGAAGGAAAGTATTACTATTATCTCCATTTTACAGTTGAAGAAACTGAACCAGAGGTTAAGTGACCTGCCCAGGGTCACACAGCTAGTTAGTGTCTGAGGTCAGATTTTAACTCCATTAGTTCTAACTTCAGGCTTAGTGCTCTATCCACTACACCACCTAACTGCCTCTGCTAAGGGGCAGAAAGACAGTGCAACTGGGGTTAATGTTCTGTGTTTTTTGCACTTTCACACACACATACTCAAGTAGATCTCAGATTGTAAGGTGAACTGGAGATTTTTTTATATATTTATATGTGTATACATACATGTATATACATATACACACACACACATATATGTATGTATGTATATATATGTGTGTGTGTATATATATGAATAGGTATACACACACTTACATTTGGAACACACAAGTGAATTAGATTGAAATATATTTCCGAAGGCACTTTCTTCATCTCCACAACATTCACTCAGTGATCTTCAGTAGCCTCTTCCCTTTCAGGACAAAATACTAACCCATCAGCTCAGCATTTAGAGTCCTTCACAATCTGGCCCCATCCTCCCATTGCACACACTTCATTTTAGTCCATGCACCAGATAAACTGGCCTCGATGCTGTTTCCAAAGGCAGCATCTCATCTCTCTCCTGTGTGCCTTCGGTAAGGCCATCTCCCAACACTGCCTCTTTTTGGCCTCTCAGCATCATTAGTGTCCTTCACTGTTCAGCTCAGCTGTCACCTTCTAAGGGCATCCTCTCCTGACCCCCCTGGTAGTTACTGCTCTCGCCCTCCTCAGATTATCTAAATATATGTGTACACAG